CACACACACACACACACATACACACACACACACACACACACACACACACACACACACACACGTAGTACTGTATAATTCCATGTTCTAGCGGAAGATTCATTCGATTTTGCTTTTTTTTTACTTTATTGATTGATTGATTGATTGATTGATTTATTGATTGATTGATTGATTGATTGATTGATTTATTGATTGATTGATTGATTGATTGATTGATTGATTGGTGGTGGCGGGGTTGCCCCCCCAGCCCCCACACGGGCGCGCACGCACACACACACACACACACACATACACGCGTTGCGCATGAAACACACACACACACACACACACACACACACACACACACTGTAATAAGGAAACAATAAAGGGATGAAAAAAAAAAGAACTATTTTTTTTTTTCCCCATTCGGATTTCCTTGATTGTTTCCTTATTACACAACAAAAAACAATAAAAAAAGTATGTAAAAGTGAAGAATACAAAGAACTGCCAACCAAAAATCCCCCCCCCCAAAAAAACTTTTTTTCAAATTTACTTTTCAATTTTTCTTCTCAACCTTTTATGTTTTTGATTTTTTATAATTCTTTAACATGATCTTCTTCCAAAAACAAAAAATGAGGTTGCAGGGATTAAAAATCCCTACAACCCCATATATATATATATATTTATATATATATTGGCTTATTAAATAAATTAGGAAAAATACGGTAAATTCACATCCATGGCGCGGATGAGGTCAGCCGCGGACGCGGCCATATATGTGGCCGCCCTCCGAGCTCGACCCCGCGGACGCATTCGCGGGTGTTTCGTAGTTGGCCAGGCTTCTCGTCGCCTTCATACATGTCTGAATGTTGTCATCTCTGCATTCCATGAACATTGCATTGCATTGATTTTATTTTATTTTTGGTGTAAAAGGAAAGTGTGAATAAATGACGAGAGCATGTGGATCATGAAACTGGAATACATCATTCGCTAATTGAAGACAACAATTGTTAATTAACAACTTCTGATGCAAGTTTTCTTAATCAAAGAGAAGAAACGGCAACGGCAAAATGAGACAACCTTTTCAATGCGACGACCGACAATGAACGACTGCAACCCATTCCAACTTGTCAACTTTATCATCTATTTCAGAGCTCACAGTAAGCACATGGATAACGAACCGCTGCAAACCATTCCAGCACTTCAAGCTAATCATCAACTCAAAATGAATTAGAAAACGCATGTCCCGTCATGTAAGGTTGGAGACCATCTACTCTAAACAACAGCTAAATGGCACGACATCGCTAGTGAAAGACCGCACTCCCTCCGGAGGCGCAACACAAACCAACCCTAAATCGTGCAACGACTAATGGCGACACACGGCACCCGCGAACTTGACGTCGTCGATCGTGGACCACTGGACGACAACCTGCACACCGGTGGCGATCCGAGAACACGAGGAAGCACAAAACAGACTCGAAGTCCACTCTCGATGCACCACGACACACTCCCACCTATCATCCCAAAGAACCACCAACTTCCCCCCCCTCCCCCCTCCGCCCCCCCTCTAGGGTGCGAACGGGCGACTACTGACCATCCCACGGTAGGCTAATCATCGATGACATCAACCCTACTGTGCCGCCCACCATACCGAACGTGGCGCTCCCACGTTCTTCACGACCCACACCCCGCAGTTGCACGCACCTACATCAAAGCCAAACGGTCTCGAAATGCATCCCTCAACAGGTTCCCATCGACGTTCATGCTTTGTTGCCTCCCGCCCGCGCCGTTTCCCACCATACCCAACTCCACTCTACGTCGGACGCCGTTTTCATCCACGTCCCACAGCAGGTTCTCGTCGAACTCGATCCACGCGTCCAGGAGGATGTTGTGGAGAGTGCATACAGCGACGAATTGCTGCGGCAAGGTCTCCAAGGGCGTTTTGTGGGTGCGCAGCAATAGATGCCATATGCACTTCAACTGCACGAACGCCCTTTCCACACACCCCCGCGCCACCTTCTGTCGCGTGTCGAAACGTTCCTCGTCAGGACGCTGCTCGATTCCTCCGTACGGCTGGACGATCAATGGACAGGCAACGGGGTACCCGTTGTCGCCGAGAAGGTAACCTCTCGTCACGACACCGTGTGGCAGATTCTCCGGAGGGGCGTCGAAAAGCTCGCCGCTTTCTGCGCGCCTCCACAAATGGGAGTTCTGCAGGGCTCGAACGTTGTGCACACTTCCCGGTTATCTGACGTGGACGTCCAGGATACACAGATCCAAATCGACTACCACCTGCGCTGGAACGGAGAACTTCTGTTTGATGTCGTAGTAGTTATCCGACGGCGCACCGGTGGGCTTGTCAATGTACACGTGCGTGCAGTCGATTGCGCTGAAGCAGTTAGGGAAACCCTTCTCCCGAAAATCCCACAGTATCTGCTCATGTCGACGCCCAACAGGCCACTTAATGGATTCGGGGTACGCCTTCAACAGCGCTGAAGTTATATCGCCGACGGCCTGCTGTCCAGTGGCCCTGCCGATGCCGAAGGCTGACGTGCCACTCTCGAACGTCTCCCCGGAGGCCCACCTATACAATGCGAAAGCAATGACCTGCTCCACAGGCAATGTCATCCTGTAATGTGTGACCTTCTTCTCGACGTGAGCGGCGCATGTGGCAACAATCTGCATGAAGACAGCCCTGGACATACGCAACTTGTCACGGAAGTAGTCTTCCGTCTCGTCGTCACACAGCCGGAGATCCTCCCAAGTTCCGCCAGTCCTTCGTTTGATCCACATCACGGCGTTTCCCACGGGAAGATGCCGGAGTAGAGCGCCGCGCACAACTGCAGGACCGATTCAGACGTCGCCACGCAATGCGGCGGTTCGACGACTCGTTACAACAGTGCTCTACGTTTCCGCAACTGCGAACGCTTCTGACTTTCCATGGACGACATGTCGCCCACCGAGCTAAGGACCACGGCAGTCACCGCCATCGCCACCGCCTCCCTCTCTTCTTCACGCAACCCATGGCCGCCGCCACAAACGTCCATCTCCATCGCCCTTTCGCCTCTCACGGATAATGCTTGCGATCGCCGCCGAAGATGACCCCGCTGCTCTACCCTCCCACACGACACTGCGCACGCCACTCACGACTCGCACAGACGCGAAAGATGGAGCTCCGCGCCAATGGAATCACCACCGCTGTCATTTGTACGTCCCACACGTCACGTGCAAGTCCTCCAGCCCGCCTCCCTGCAAGTCCTCCACCCCGCCTCCCTGCGTCCGCGAAAATTCGAATTCGAATTTTCGAACGTCGTCCTTCCCGCGCTTCCCACCTCACCCTCCTCAACCGGGCAGGGCCCACCACCGTCTGCACCACAGACACCAGGCTGCAATGGGCGGACATCTACGGCGCCGCGGGAGACCATTTAGGACGATTCCTAAGAGAAGTTTTTTAGGATTGTGTGCGACGACGGCGCAGGAAATCCTAAAATTCTTTTAGGACTCGTCCTAAATAATTAAGGATTCCTTTAGGAGTGTCTAAAGAGACCCTATCTCCTTTTTTTGCAAAAGGCCAGATAGATCCACAGAAGTCTCAGGTTTTTGCCAAAAAAAAAAAAAAAACGGTAAGTCTCAATGTGTTTATAATATGCCCTTCAAGTTGTGTCCTCCTTTTTCCTTGACCTTGTTCGGCTCCACCATTCTTTTTCTTTTTTTTTTTTTCCCCACATCTTTGTATGATAGTCAACAGATAGACTATTAGAACTTGCGGTCATGATCCCCGTACATGGACTGAGTTGCCCCAAGTGCAAATTTAAGGACCATGCACTCTATTCAGGGGAACAGGGCAGCGCCGGTGCTTCTTTTAGCCCCCCAACATTAGCCCAATTGCACAAGCACATTGCTATCATAATGTGAATTCGTTTCCCAACCACACTTTGGGAATCCCTGCTCCTCCTTCTCCAGCACCTCGTCGTCAGCCTCTTCCTCCTCCTCGTCCTCCTCCGCCTCCTCCTCGAGGCCGCAGGCATGGAAGGGAGCAGGGAATACAGCTTAGTTTTTTCTTTTTTTTTAAAGAAAACAAGAGAGCATGGGCCGCGGGGGGGCCGCTGAGAGGTACGAGGCAGGGGATACGGGCCGGTCCGATGGTGCAGTGTAGGACTGCAGGTGCAATGTAAAAGCCACAACCGGACGTGGTTATTCGATCGAGAAGCAAGAAGGGCAAAGACGAAGAACCTGGTCGGGAACTGACCCAGGGGGGTAGGTGAGCTAAAGGGATTGCGCAGGGAACACGGAGTGCTCACCGCTTTGATTAATTGAGATATTGATAGATAGATGGCTCGATTGATTGTGTCCAGTTTTGGAAATGTAGCTTCTCAAGTCCGAACGCGAAGCCACGTGCAACTCGCGGCACGCAAGAGTATCTTTCTGTCTTTCTTTCCCCCCCCTTTTTTTTTTCACACACACTCACAGACAGAGACAGACACACACACACACACACACACACACACACACAGAGAGAGAGAGAGA